TTTGTGTAAATTATTTCAAATGCAGAAATTTCGAAATTGAAAATGTATGTTTGAATTAAAAGAAATGCAGAGAAAAATGTTGAAGTAATTGAAATTCACCATTCATTTCAATTTTGAATCTACTATAAATTCTCTTTCATTGTTCTAGCCATAGCTCACCACTTTGGGGTGATAATATTTGACACGACCCGAAATTCTGACTTGAGCATGACTAATAAAATTCCATGTTAGGATCAATCCGGACCCGAAACGGGTCAGGTTCGGGCTCAACAAATTTACCCTTTTAAAACTCGAGTCGAGTTCGAGTTGACTCGAAATCCTAAAATTGACCCTTTTTGACCCGTAAACCCAAGATTGACCCTTTTATATTGACCCATTTTTTTATCCAAAAACTGGCATTTTTTGTTGGCCCGGGTCATTCAGATCGTGTCGGGTTGACCCGAACTCGAAGCGGGTAGGTTTTGGGTCCAAAAAATCTACCCGTTTAAAAAAACGGGTATGGTTCAGGTTGACCCGAATAGTGCTAGATCAGTTCCAGGTATGACCCGAACCTGACCCATGACCCAAAATTGGAATTTTTTTTTTCCGTCAGGTTACCTGATGTAGCTCTACGTCAGGTAGCCTATAATATGTCCCCACGTGCTCTTACTCTTTATCGCGCGGCCCGACGACCCGACCCGTAACGGACCCGAGAGTTTGCGTAGCTCGGTATTGCTGGGTATTGGTCGATTTTGCTCGACAAAAATGAAAAAAATACCATTATGTGAAGACCAATACCGAGCCAAATCCGAGCAATACCGAGTTCTTTTAGGTATTGGTCTTCACATAGCTGTATTTCTCATTATTGTCAAGCAATACCAAGTAATACCTAGCAATACCGAGCCTATACCGAGCAATACGCAAACATAGTGATCCCGGATTCCAGTCCGAGTCGGGTCGTCGGGCCGCACGGTAAACAGTAAGAGCACGTGACGACATATTATAGGCTACCTGATGTAGAGCTACATCAGGTAACCTGACGGAATAAAAATTCCCCGAAATTGACACCCCTATCACCACTTTCAACCTTTCACCACCCATCATTATCCACTTCACTAGCCACCGGCCACCGCTGTTGCCACTATCGCCACCAGCCCTCACCATTATTAGGTTTTATCCTTCATTCATTTTACTTCAAGCCACAAAAATAATTACGAGCATTTACTTTACACTTATTCAAACAATTCAAGATATGTAATATAAATTGCATTCTTTTATCTCTATTTTATAAATCAAATGATCCATAAATTAGTTTAAATTCACAAAAATAAGCATTTATATAAATTTAATTATAATTATATAAGATTTCTCATGAATAATCTATATAAAAATACTACAAAAGATTGCACTTTATATCTACATCACGTGATGCGTACAAGAAACGTTATGGTTATAGTAGTACTATAATCACAATTAAATTTTTTTTATGTGAAAAAAATATTATATCTCTCTTCTTTTATAGTACGAGATTTTATGGTTGAATGTATTTAAAATATATATATTATAATTTTAAATTTTAAAAAATTTAAACTATTTTATTTATTTATGATATTTCATTGCAATTCATGTATATATTTGGATAAAATGTAAATATCAAATATTTCTAAAATTTGCAATCAATAATAAAAAGCTATCAGGCAATTGGAATTTTTGTGCAAATTTTTATGAAAAAATGAACTTGTATAGAACTTTAAGAAGTAATAAAAATTCACTTTCATTGCTTCTTGTCTTTGCTTTTGAATCAAATCCTTTTTTAGGACTTGGGTGAATATGAAATAACTTAATATTATTCGATTGACTATAATTTAGGCTTCGTTTGGGACGGCTTTTTTATTGCTTTCTAAAACGGAGTTTTAGTTAAAAAATAAAAAATTTTGTACTAAAATTAAGTTTTAGAAAGCAGTAAAAAAAGCCGTCCCAAACGAAGCCTTAGACTTTATTTGGAATAGCTTTCTTAATGCTTTTTAAAATGACTTTTTAGTACAAAAATCTATTTTAGAAAACAATAAAAAATCTGTTGCAAGCGAAGCCTTAATCAATAACTTCGAATAGTTGTGGTGAACAAATAAAAAAAAGTCATAAGAATTTAACTAATACTAAAGATAACTTCGAATAGTTGTGATGAATAATGAATATCAAGCTTTAAATGTGTTGGAAATGGTTGAATATAACTTCCTTTTTGAAATTGAAGAATATTTATTAAAGGTTGAGAATTAAATGATTTAAAAAAATGCAAAAATTATCATCTTTCTTAATTGGAAAATAATGATAAGATATATGAATAATATATTTATCTAGATTAAATAAATATTGATAATTGAATTTACCTGAGATTAATGCATTCTAATAAGTTCAAAGTTTTTCTAATTCTTTATTTTTCTTGAATCTCCTTTAATAGGTTTCTCCTTTCGTTAGAGTTTATCTTCGTAGGGTAACCATTTATCATAAAAGGGGAGTTGAGTTCTACCGTGGGCGAGCCCGCTAGAATTAATTTTGCACTACTCAATACATATCTTATTATAAAAGAGTTGTGTTCTATGCATTGACGTGTGTTCCAAAGGATATATTAAATAAGATATGATGCTTGAGTTTTATTATTATTATTTTTCATTTATTTTTCTTATGTGGGCGAGCCTAAGTTTTCAGATCAAAATTTTACTCAATATAGTTACTTAACATGGAATACAGAGCGGACCTCGCTCGAGCAATGACTTTCCTTTGCTTGTGGACTTTGGCTCACCTATAGGTTTTTGTTCATGGGGGTCATGGCTCTCTTATAGTGAGTAGATTGACTTGCTCTTTAGCTTAAGCCTGGGTGGGAACTCAGTCGACTTATGCTGCAGTTTGGTTAACCGCAATTATTATGGAGTTGCATGCACGAGTTATCTAAGTGTTTTTAGGATTTTCTTTAATGCTCTCGTTTTGATCATGCAGGAAAAAAAAGGAAGGAGATTCTTTTACTTCTTTTATGAAAAAGTACAAGTAATGATACAAAAGTGAGGGTTTCCCTTTCATGTGTAGAAGGTCTGGATGACATCAACACTCCATGTTCTTGATAATTCCCTTCCATTGCGTGTTTGCAACAAATAGGCGCCTAAGCCGACTTGTGCTTTGGCATTGTAGTATTCTTCATGCTTGATGTCAGCTTGCACTCGCCGTATGAGGTTGCTTAGGGTGTTATGGATTGTCTTCATCAATCACTTATCCATTTCATGCAAGTCACAACAAGTTGTAATTTTGGCGTTTTCCATGTTCACAAAAGGCTCTTGTTGTGGTCGCTCGTCAAACAGATCCCATCTTCTTGTCACTGACATCAATCCATACTCATCACACTTAAAATGATGTTGAATCCACATTTGTTCGGTGGATGATATCGACTTTACTAGTAGATATGTTTGGTGCAATGAGAGCCTGTTTGGTGAGAATAAAGAGTATAAATGGTAAAGCGGATGAGAATAAGCTGGCAAAATCTCCACTATCCTCATTAAAAAATATAAGAAGTGAGACTTAAGAGGCCCATAAGAGCTAAAGAAGATAATCAATTGTTCCTCATCAGCTTTTATTTAAAGGATTTAGAGGGCTACAAGAGATGCTATATAAAGAAATGTGAAAATACAGGCTACACAGAATACTTGTACCATGGTATATGCTAATCTAAGATATACATCACCTCCTGATTGGATGCAAGCAGATGAACTCAACAGTTAGGCAAACATCGAGCGAGCTTAAGAGAGGTGAGTAGGTGTAGGGAGAGCATGTGGGCAAATTTTGAGAGGTGATAGACTCATAGTTGGTGAATTGTCTTATTAGGTTGGTGACTGGCGTAGGAGGCTTTAAGGCCGCCTTTTCATGAAAGATAAGCAGAGTATTTGCGAGGTGAAGAGTTCATGAGTCTTTTAGTAGTAGCTGAATGGATTGTGAAGTCCATGGGTAGGAGCTTTCATTTAGATGAGCTCGATGAACTGAAAGGGGGAGGCATGACTAAGAAGGGTAGTGATATGCTAGCTCGATAAGGAACTTTTTAGTCGCCAAACATAGGGTGAGTTTCGAAGTGTGGAAAAGTGGCACTCATCTTTCTCCTTCGGTGAGTTTCTCCGCTAGTCCCGGGCGAGTCCTTTAAGAGATTTGCTCCTTAGAGGGAATACCCTCCTCATAGCCCAATCATAGCCTTTTAAAACACCTAAGAAAACGATTATAGGTATACATGAACAACAATGATTTTAAATAAGTGAAGCTTGAACACAACAAAGTTTGAAATCGTCCTTAAACTCAATTCAACTATACTGGTAATAAACAAGTTCAAACATGAACAAACATCAACTCCAATCTATACGAATCTTTTGCAATCCTAAATATTGTTGTGAAGTCACTGAAATATCTGATTTGAGGAAGCCGTGCATCAAGCCAATACAAATTCGTTGACTTGGCGCATATGAATTAATGAATAGCTAATCATTTTCTATATAAAGAAAATTTTATACTTGAAGTATCGCTTGGGCCGACTTGATAAGTCATATTCGCTTCCTCGGGATGAATTCTCATATGATCGTCACCAATTTCGGATGAATTTATTTGTATACATGAATTCCTTTTGAGTTGAGATTAAGGAATCGGGTCGGGTCCAACCCGGATTTTCCGGGTCGGGTCCGGGTCGGATTTTCGTGTGGTGTCAAATATTGACACCCCTAATTTTTATATAATTATATTAAAATATTCATATATATAAATATAATTTTTATGATAGAGCGAAGCCCCCAATTAGAAAGTGAGTGGGAAGCAGATGCAGACTAGGCTATATAGTATCATCCAGATCATCGTCTCAGCGCATCAAATCTGAAAAAAACAGGCAGCACATGTTATGAATTATTTTTAAATATATTTTAGAAGTCTAATCGGCAATCTCATAACAACTTTACCTGCCCAAGAAATAGCTAAAATAAGTTTTGCTTATAAAATCAGCAATCACGAGGATTTTTCCGAAAAAAACCGAGGGCAGATAAAAAGGTCTCGGGAGAAGGAAGGACGCGCCTTTGCCAGCGAGGACTGTGGACGGACGATACAACATTCCGTTTCTCCTCCTCCGCCCACCCAACCCCAAAAAGCTCTGTTAGCTTGTCCTCCTCTCACATTCTCTCGACAATGTGGCAAAACCCTAGAGATTTTCATCTACATTTCTTTTTCCTCATTGGCCTGTTCTTCGCCGTAGCTGGCATCGCCTCCGCCGGCGGCGGTGGAGGTGGAGGCGATGCCGATGCGATGTCGGAGTTCGCGAAGAGCCTGGGGAACCCGCCGAAGGACTGGATTCCTGGTTCTGATCCCTGTTCCTCGAAATGGACGGGGGTATTGTGTTCCGGCGGCCGTGTAACCGCCATCAACCTCCGCGGCCGCGGTCTCGCCGGAACCTTACCTTCATCACTTTCCTCGCTAACCAGCCTGCAATCCCTTTTTCTTCCTGGAAACCAGCTCTCCGGGCCGCTTCCCTCGTTCGGTAAACTCGCCACCCTTCAGGAGATATCTGTCAGTTCCAACTTCTTCAATTTCGTTCCCCCTGATTTCTTCTCTGGCCTATCCGGCCTTCAGAAGATATCGCTTGATGACAATCCTCTTGCCCCGTGGGAGCTACCTGACTCCTTCGCTGACTGCCCCCTCGTCTCCGTCTCCGCCTCTAATGCGTCCATCTCTGGTGCCCTCCCCGACTTCTTCGATCGTCTATCGTCCCTCCAATCCTTCCGACTATCCTACAACAACATATCCGGTCCGCTCCCCGCGTCTCTTCCCCGATCTCCTATCCGGGAGCTCCTCCTCAACAATCAGCAAGGCACTAAGCTCTCCGGTCGCATTGATGTCATCGGACAGATGGAGCAGCTTTCCCTTCTCTGGATCCAGTCTAACGCCTTCTCCGGCCCTATTCCTGATCTCTCCAACCTCACCACCCTCCAGTCCTTCAATGTCCGCGACAACGCTCTAACCGGTGTCGTTCCCAACTCCCTCGTTACAGTCTCCACCCTTAAAAATGTCTCATTGTCGAACAACGATCTCCAAGGACCCATGCCAAAGTTCGGCGCAGACGTGTCGGCCGACATCGATAAGGGCAACAACTTCTGCCTCCCGCAGGCCATCCCTTGTGACATCAAGGTGATGCAGCTTCTTGCAGTGGCGGCAGGGTTCGGTTACCCCGCCGTGTTTGCTAGTTCGTGGACGGGCAATGATCCCTGCGGTGGCGGTAGTGTTTGGGTTGGTGTGATTTGTGATCAGCAAGGGAACATTGTGGCGCTTAATTTTGCAAACAAACATCTTGAAGGCTTTATCTCGCCTGAGATTGCTAATATCTCTTCACTGACCAAGGTTATCCTGAACAACAACAGTCTGACTGGCGTCATTCCGAATTCACTAACCCATTTGCGCCAGCTGCAGCTGCTTGATGTCTCGTATAACCAGCTCACTGGGAATATACCCAACTTTGCATCTACAGTGAGGTTGGTTGAAGCTGGAAACAAGTTTGGTTCTGATTCTTCTGGAGGAGGGGGCTCTGATGTTCCTGGATCAGGTGGGGCTCCAGGTTCATCTTCATCTTCATCGGGACATCAGAATGGTAAATCCAAATCGGCTACAGGATTAGTCGTGGGGATACTGTTGGCTGTTCTAGTTTTAGTAGGGTGCATTGCTGGTTTTGTTTATTATATCCTTCGTCGCAAGAGGAGGATGGAGCAACTAAAGAGAGTCCAAATGGAAACCTATCCTGATAGTCCAGATGTTGTTAAGGTTGGGGTGTTGGGTCTGAATGACAATGGCACAGTTGGGAGTGAGGGTTACCCGCAGAGCAATTATGGGGAGAGTTCTGATGCCGCACTTCATAGGGAGAACAGTGAGAACATAATCTCAATTCAGGATCTTCGAAAGGCCACGAATAATTTTAGTGAAGATAACATTTTGGGCAAAGGTGGATTTGGAGTTGTTTACAGAGGAGTTCTAAGTAATGGGATAGTAGTTGCTGTCAAGAGGTGTGTGCTTGATATGTTGAGTATGAAAGGGGTGGCAGAGTTCAAGGCAGAGATAGGCCTTATTGGGAAGGCAAGGCATAGGCATTTGGTATCCTTGGTTGGTTACTGTGAGCATGAGAGTGAGAGGCTGTTGGTTTATGAGTACATGCCAGAGGGAACTTTGGCGCAGCACTTGTTTGATAGGGAAGGGAGCAGGTATTGTCCTCTAACATGGAAGCAGAGATTGACAATAGCCCTGGACGTGGCCAAGGCTATGGAGTACCTACATAGTTTTATGCAGGGAAGCTTCATCCATAGGGATCTGAAGCCCTCAAACATTTTACTAGACAAGGATTTAAGAGGAAAGGTTTCGGATTTTGGTTTGCTCAAGCTTGCAGGAGATAATGAAAAGTCGATGGCAACCCGGTTGGCTGGGACATTTGGATATTTGGCACCTGAGTATGCAAGTAAGTGTTATTGTTTCCTTTTGTTATATATATATTGTGAGAGTTTACCATTTACAACCATCAGCCAATTGTAGGATTTCCTGTTTTATTCCGGAAAGAAAAAAGAAAAGTACAATCAATTGTAGCTCTGCAAATTAAAAGCTATTTTTCTTTCCATTCCAACTAAATGGGAGAAAAAAAGAAAAGAATTAATAGGGGGCTTTGAATTCACCCAATATGATAACATGCTTTCATCCATGATCATATTGTAGTTGTCATTATAGACTTTGAGAGATGGCTATTTTGAAGTGGTAGTTAACATGGGTTCCATTGCGAACCTTTTCACGAAAGGACGGTTGAAGGTTGGGATGAATATTTTTGAAGTATTCTTAGGATCACATGAAGATTCTTGATTAAAGTGTCTTGCATGCTAAGGTTTTGCGGGTCTACAATATCTTGATTCGTCTCTTTGACTTTTAAGATGTACTTGGGATCACCTGAAGATTTTTGATCGAACTATCGTACATGCTGAGGTTTTGAATAGATCAAAGAGGTTCAAATTCCTATTGCCTACTTGTTAGGCTATATTCCATATGCTCGCATTCTCTTATGAACTTGTGAAAGTGTTAATACAAACAAATGAAAAGGAAGAATAGTGATTGTGATTGTTTTACATATTCTCTTGTTTTGAATGTGTATCTAACTCTGGCCACTCGAGTGGTTTTTTTTGCTTTTTTTAGTGGAACTCTCACTGTTTATCAAGAAATGTCACTTTCCTAGTTGGCAAAAGATGCATTCAAATGTTTATGTTTTTTTTTTTTGCTATTGTAGTTTTTAAGTTTTTTTTTGTTTTTTTTTTGTTTACTCAATGATGGAAGGCAACCGATGAACATGTGTGATTTTTGTGCTCTTGGACATGTTTTTTTCTTTGGTGTGTGCTAGCTTCTTTGGGTCTTTGTGCTTGGGCTGCTTGGGTTTGTTAGTGGGCAGCTGAGCTGCTACTTAGCCATTTGGTCGTTCGGTTCATGCTCCCTATTTTATCGGTTTCCCTTGCTGGGCTGTTCGATTTCTGCTCCTTGCTTTCCTGGTTCCCTTTGCTGGCTGTTTGGTTTCCGCTCCCTGATTTCCCGGTTCCCCTTGTTAGCTGATCGGTTCCTGCTCTTGGTTGTCCCGGTTCCATTGTTGTAGCTGTTCGGGTGAGGGTCCAACCGAGCCTTTATTGCTTCTTTTTTCCTCCTTTTGGTTGGCTGTGGTGGGCGGCTGAACATGGATGTTGGCCTCCCTTTTCTATCCTATTTATAGGGGAGTTTTGGGCTGTTTTAAGAAGTTTTGACAAAGTGAAAACTAAGTAAAACATGAGGGTTTCTTCTCTAGCTTGAGAGCTACTCCACTTCTTATTGCTTCTTCCAAGTCTTCTAATCCCTTTCTTCTCTCCCGAGTTTCCACCCCATTGTATCCTTCTTCTAAAAATTGAGAGTGGTTTTTTTTTTATTTTTTTTTTATTTTTATTTTTTTTTAAAATTGAGAGTGGTGTTGGTTGGCTAGTTTTGTTGGCATTTGTCGGAGGAGTTGTGGCAGACGTTGGTTTGGATCAAAGTAGCTGTGGTGGACCACTGTTTTGCCTGTCCTTGAACATTTTATTTACCTATTATATCGATACGTGTGAGGTGACCACTAGTTGGTTGTTTTGAGGGCGATTTTTTTATGGTTTTGTTTCTTTTCATAAAACAATTTCAGTTTGTTTAAGTGTTATATGGTGTTTTTGCTTACTAAGGTTTTGAACCGAGTTGTGTTCTACTTGCATTAGTGTTCTCCTTTGAGCTTTTAACTTGCTAGTCCCATCCGCAAATGTTTTTCTCTTGCTTGGGGTTTATTTGCAAAATTCAAGGTAAGAAGAGGATAAGATTTTGTAGAGCATTGGAGGGCGAAAATTAGATAGAGAGAGGGAGGCCAAAAGAGAGAGATAGAGGGAAGAATTGTGAGAGGGAGAAAGAGAGAGGGGGTTATGGAGCAAAAAGGTTGGTAGTTTTGCGTAGCTGAGAGGAACAAGAGGGATAGCTAGAGGGAAGGGTCCATCTAATGGAATGAGAGTTTACTTGCAAGAGCAAATTCAATTCAATAACCAAGTTTTTTTCAATATTACATTGTATTTAATGTTGATAGCTAGAGTGAAGAATTGAGTATTAGGAGAAAGATATTCAATAGTTGAAAAGGGAAATAGTAGCCATAATCATTCGTGATTGAAACTTAGGAGAAATTTCTTTTATTCAATTCACTCCATAATAATTATATCCAAACCCGGGATCTTTATTTGTAGAGATAATGTTACAAAGGTAAGACACAATTATAAGATTAATTATTTGAATTCACATCTAATCTTAACTAAACTAAATTTAATCCTAAATAATTCAAACCTAAAATTATCCAAAAAGGATAAGTAATGCTAAGAAAGTTAGCAGATTAATCTAAAATCCTAATTTAAATAAAATAACTTATAAATATTGAAAATAAAAATAAACTCAAGTCTGAATCCATTCACTAGGTTGAAAAAACTCTTCTCTTGAAGAGTTGCAATTAAGTTATAGATGAGCCTTGCCATAAATCCTCTTATATGGAAGGATGTGAATTTTTCTTTATCAGTTCAAATTCAACAATCACATTTTTCTTTTCTTTATTTTGATAATTTTATTGTATAATAAAAGAGTGATTTCCATAACTTTGAAATGATTTCGAGTAAAAGGAATGGTCAATTCCATCATGCATGTGAGAACACCTTTTATGTCTTCAAGGCTATCTTTGATGGTATTTCCAAAGTAATCATACATAGAAATTTAGTTGAAGCAAAGTATGAAAGTATTGTACTTATGAATGAAAAGAGGCAATAATCAAGCATTTGAGATAGAGCAGCGAGGTGCACAATGTTTTCTTAGCAAAATGAGTTAAAAAGGATGATGCATGTGGCTATATGAAGTTGGTGATAGACCTTATGGGCATTGTTATTTTTGTAGGGCCTTGTTAAGGATATGAGATGGGGGAAGGCGTATATGGGAATGGGTTTGCATAGCTGAAGATGGGTGCGAATTACTTGGGTTTATCATGAGTGGTGACATTTCATAGCATGAAAGACAATTGGTGAGTAGATGAGGGGGAGGGGGGATTCTTTCTTGTGCTATTGGCATGGTGATGGTGATCGCATGGAGTGTGACACGAAGGCAACGTCCAATGACAGATGCGAGATGTAGTGTGTGAAGAATTAGTCGAAGTGGATGCATGCAGGAAACTAGCAACACACACAAACTTGATATAGTTGTGGGACATGCATCATTAGTTGGACAATGCGACGCACATACAAAGTCATGCTAAGATGCAACCATGGTTACAAAGAGTTGTTGATTTGTGTTATAGAGGAGCAGTGTGGTCTTGAAGCAAAATTGAAATAGTCCATCAAGTTTGTGGAGTTTCAAGTAGGTTGGGCAGAGTAGCAATAGATTTACAATAATGGCATGGTGTTTAATTTAATGTTTAAAGTGGGTAAGTTGTTATGACATAGTTTTAGCAATTTTGGAAGAATATATTCTTATAGTGGAATCAAAATGGTTTAATTTGGAAAAATTGGGTTAGTAATGTAGTGGTTACTAATCCAGGCATTGGCCAAAAAACCCCATGCAGACAATCTCACCTCTGCTACTGTGGGTGCACAAACCACCAATCGTGTTGAAGGACTGCCATGCCACACATTTAAACACATTTAAACTGGGGGCAAATTTGGGTGAATAAATGCAAGTGCCCTTTAGTTTATTTTGATGAAGGCGGGCAAGTTGTTATGGAATAGTTTTAGCAATTATGGAATAATATTTTCTTATGGTGAAATAAGAATGGCTTAACTTGAAACTTGGGTTAATAATCTCATGGTTATTGATTGAAAACATGCAATGACCAAGAACCAGTGGAAGCAACCCTATCTATGGTTCCATGCCCCGTAAACTGCCAACCTTGCTGAAAGACGACCACATCAACATAGGTTAAGCTAGGGATAAATTTGGGTGAATAAAAGGTAAGTGTCCTTTAGTTTTGGCTACTTATTAGGGAATGAGCCATGTGTCTTATTCATATTAGTTTGATTTTTTATGGATTAGGATGAAAAAGGTTTTTGATACTATAGGCTTACTCATTAGATTTTTTGGGTTTTAAAGATTATAACCAGATACTAAGAGGGATTAATGAATATAACATATTATTCTTCTTGAAAGTCTTTCTTACATGTGTGTTGCCCATCCTCTGTATATCTCTCAATCCCTTTGTCTATGGAGTTTCCGACAAACTCTACTAGTGATGTAAAACGGGTAGGAGGCTTTGCTAGGGAGAGGATCTCTTCTCCATAATCTGACAGCAAGTTCAGATTTCACCAAAAATCTGAGAGGAAATTCTCAGATTTTCTCTTGAAAAAATAGGGGCAGGGGAAGGAAGAGTTTCTCTTGCAAGGAGAGAGAAAGCAAACCCCCAAATACCCTTTTTAAAAAAATCCTGAAAATAATTTCAGGTTTTTATTCAAAACCTGAGAGAAATGGTGCTGGAGGGAGGAACATATGACTTCACATTCAGAGGGAAAATTATTGGCTGAGAGAAGTGGGAAGAAAGAGGGGGGGGGGGACGGTGATTTTGGAGAGGAGAATTGGGAGAGAGAGAGAGGAGAACTGATGCGACGGGATCCAAGGGAGGTTGAGGGAATTCAATTCCTTGATTCCGTGAAATGAATTAGGGAAAATGGAATAGGAAATAGTCCAGGGAGAATTCGGCTAGGGGCTGTGGAGTCAGATTTTGTTTTTTGGAAAAATTTCCAAAGGTGTAAGCTGCAGTTATGGAGAGATTTCAAAAAACAAATTAATGAGGAGAGGAGGCCGGCTGTATTAAGGGGAGATGGAGGGATTCGTGGAGAGTAATTAATGTTGCTTGATTTGGATTTGAATATTAGGAAAGGGGTTTTAAAATCCTATTTGAATTTTAAATTCAAATAAGTTTTA